ATAATCGTCATCTTTATAATAATAATCGTCATCGTCATCCTCATAATAATAAGATTCGTATTCGTCATCATCACCTTTTCCCCCTCGTTTAGTTAAGGCATTACGCTTATATCCTCCGTAATCATATTCGTCGTAATAATCTCCGTAATCATCACCGCTGTCATAATCTCCGTAATCATCACCGCCGTCATAATCTCCGTAATCATCACCGCCATCATAATACCCGTAATAATTATACTCGTAAGAATTTTTATGCCCGGGAACGGCAGTACGTTTATCTGAAAAAGAGGAAAAAAAATCGGTGTGAAAAAGGAATAATATAAGATAGTCAGATCAAAAGCACGAAATAAAAAAAAAAGAATATTTATAAGTTACCTAGAGGCTTTGCTTCACGTTTTTCTGAAAAAAAAAAGAAATTGATGTTATTTTTATGAATATTTTTGTATAAATTTTAAAAATATCAAAAGTAAATAAGTTCATACTATGTCTCGCTGGTGTAGGAGCAGCAGTAGTAGAGACAACGAGAATAGCGGAAATTAAAAGCGGCGCGTATATGAATTTCATTATTATTTATTATTTCTAATTATTTATTTTCAAGAATTGTTTTTTTTTTTAATTATTAAATAATAAATAAAAGTAATTGATGAATTTTGGAGAAAAAGTATCGAGCGAAGGTGCTGTTTATATACTTGTTGGATGTCATAGAAATTCATACAAAATTTTACACAACTAATTGATTCCTCTACATGTTTGAATAATATTCGATTCACCGATTCACCCATACTCATTTTCATTCTATGTTTTCTAAGCAAAGCCTCAAGTTTTCTTGATTCATAATATTCAAATTTTCTCTGATTCTCTAATTTAATGTTTTCATTGTCAAGTTCTTATGTTGGTTGATCTGTTGCTATGAAAGAAAGAATTCTCACGTTTCAAGAAATAGCATGAAATTAGAAAAAGTCATACAAACTGCCTAATTTGTTAAATTATTTTAATAAAAAGGTTTAACAAGTTTTGAATTGACAGAATTAACAATGAGATCTGGGCAAGATCGATCTAATGCATGTACATACGTATCTTGTTTCTTTTTTCCGTTCTTTAACGATGAGAAAGTCTCAGGCATGAATCCTCCTCTATGGCTATGCCTAAGAATATTGTTAAAGTATGAAATAATGTGGCTGTGGACAATCGTATGTCCTTTTTCATACGCATATATTTAGCAACGCGAATTAAATCATACCTTTTTATTGTACGCACGAAATGCATTACGTACGACTTTTTTACTTTACGTTATCAGAACTGAATTTGTTCTCACATAACTGAAACTATGACCATGTGGCTGATTTTATATGCTCAGACCAAGAGATTTGACTGGTTCTATAGATACGTATTAAAGCCATTAATTAAGGCTACTCAAAACGCTTCATTTTACAGTACATGTACAGATTATAATACTAACTTTATCATTAGTGAATTAATGTATTCTACGTGTGTTAAATTACATCAAACGTTCTAAATAAAGACTGCTCAAAAGACGTTTATTTACATATACAGATTATAATACTAACTTTATTATTAGTGAGTTAACATATTCATCGTATTAATCCAATTTTCTATAATTTACTTAAAGAAATTTGTTAGGTTACAAAAAACAAATGCCAAGAATTAACTAATACCGAATATGTTTGTGGCTATGTCTGGATTTTTTTAAAAATGGTTAGAAGTTA